TGCCTGTTCTAAAGTTCAAGGAGCTCCCCAGTCTCTTCCCCCCCTTTTTTGGTAAGATTCAATGATATTTGAGTTGATGAGTTAGCTGTTGGGATCACAAGTGAATGGTCTGAGAGAAGAGAAGGGGAAGAAAAGGCCATTTGAAATATGAGGAAATGGGCAATTGAGGCAACATATTTAGTGGAAAGCATTTTCAAGCCTGGTGGAAATAATTCATATATATGAGATATGTGTAACCTTAAATACAACCCACCAGGCTTGTGACTCAGATATATTTTGATGCTGAAAGGCTTAGAATGGCACACAGGCTGAAAGAATCCCAAATAATCTGCTTGGCTTTATCCTTAGTTACAAATAACAATTATTACCCAGTTGTTTATTCTCCTAAAGTTAGTTTCTCATCACCTTACCTAACTTGCTTTTTAACCAATCAGGTGGAGCTGCATGAAATCATTGCTAAAATAATTATTAAGAGGTTTTGAAGATCTGTCCAAAAGATGTTTTATCTTTGTAAAACAAAAGGGAAAATAGCTTGGCAAGTTCTGATCTTAGATGGCTCCCAACCTTTGTTTTTCACAAAGAGTTTGTAGATCTTTTAATGCCATTTTCTATATTCTTATCATTTGGAGTCATATGAGCTGGGCAATATATAAGTATTGTAAAACTTATATAAGACCTGTGGTGGTGCAGTGGTTAGAACACTATATTGCAGGCAAACTGCCCACTCCCAGGACTTCGATCCTGACCCACTCAAGGTTGACTCAGTCTTTCCATCCTTCAGTATTTCCATCCTCAGTCCTTCATCCATCAGTAAAATGAGGACCCAGATTGTTGGTTTACAATATGCTGATATTGTAAACCGCTAAGAGAGTACTAAAAGCATTATGAGATGGTATATAAGTGCTATTACTGTGATAAAACAAATATCAGACCCTGTTGAAGCAGGAAACTTGAGAAATGGAGTACCCTTTCCAGTGCAGTTACTATGTATGATGCATTGATGGAACTTACATACAATACACCATGGGTTGTTAACCACAGTTTATTGAAAAACCCCAATTTGCTAAGATGCCAAAATATACTAAAGCATAAAGCATAACTGAGCACAAAGTGCAAATTATCAGATTGTTAGAAGAGATGAAGAGCTTTGTTTTTAGTTGTGAAGTTGTGTCCGACGCATCGTGACCCCATGGACAATGTTCCTCCAAGCCTTCCTGTCCTCTACCATCCTCTGGAATCCATTTAACTCACACCTACTGCTTCGGTGACTCCATCCAGCCACCTCATTCTCTGTCGTTCCCTTCTTCTTTTGCCCTCAATCTTTCCCAGCATTAGGCTCTTTTCCAGTGAGTCCTTCCTTCTCATTAGGTGGACAAAGTATTTGAGAAGAGTTTTGGCATATGCGAATTAGTGGTACCTAATTATGTAACAGCTACACTGTCGATATTCATATTTTGCATAATCTGGTGAACAAACTATGTTTGTTTTGCCCCTTAAGTTACTCTTCTTCAATAAAGTACAACCTTAATTTCTGACACCAAATACATGTGTCTTTTGTTCTTACTATATTGTTAGATCCATTTTCCTGTGTGAAATTCTTCATAATTTTTTTATCCTAGGGATATGAAATTTACATATTTAATTCATTGTGGAAGCATCAAAATATGTGGGATTGATACAATTTATGGCATTACCTTTTCTGTTTGAGCTTTCTTGTATTTTAGGTAAAGATTGTCCCAAAGATGTTTTTTCAAGAGGCAACTGGACTTTCTGGTTTTTCTTTGAAGACATTTCGCTTCTCATCCAAGAAGTTCTGAAGCTTCTTGGAGGAGAAGCGAAACGTCTTCAAAGAAAAATCAGAAAGTCCATTTGACTCTTGAAAAAAAAAACCATCTTTGGGACAACCATGACCTGGAAAGCTCAGAATCTCCATAGACATTTAAGTAAAGATTATTTTGAATCAGTTTTAGTTTTAGTATGATTTGGCAGAAATGCCATAAGAAATGTCTCAATTTTGTTATTGAACTAGATTTGTTTTTACTTGAAACAACTGATTTCTCTTAGAATTATGGAAAATTGAAACAAGGACTGTAAAAAAAAGTAAATTATAAATAGTATAAATTAACAAATGAAATGAAAAAATAATTATGTTGGGTGTATGTAAAATTAAAGTTAAAAAAGAATGTAATATATGAAAACAAAGGTGATCTGATTTTGTAGAGTTGATGAATACATTCAGAAACTGAAGGAGTAATTATGAATATGAAGGCTAAAATGTATGTTACATCTTATTTAGACTGTTGTGGGTATGTATGAAAATAGGAAATTCATAATTTGGTGATGGTTGCATGCTATGATGTACTAAATGGTCCAAGTGATAGCCGTTTTATGATTCAAGAACGGATGAGAATGATGATATGCTTAGAAACAATATGTATATTTTGGTTAAACATGCTTATGCATATGACAATAAATCTAAAATATTATTGGTTTAGGATAAAATATTCAGAGACTCAATGGATAAAGGATAAGGAGAAATTCTGAATATAATCTTAAGGAAAAAATGGACCTGGAAAAATGAATGTAAATGACACATCACACATTGGTATTTTTTAAGATTGGCATCAAAAGCCATTTTTGAAACCGAATGTTCAACTAAAATGTGCATCTCGGGACTATTCCTTGCATTTGAGTCACATTGAAATATAGCTTTCAGTGACAGATATAGTGAGGCATTGTGGACTGTGTCCAAAGTTTCAGGAAACTGCTTGTTTGAAAATCAATATTACCTATCAAATTGTAATATTCAGGACAAAAGGCACTTTTAAAGCAAGTTTGTAAATTAATAAAAGACGTGATAAGAGAAAACCTTACACTGAGAATTCAAGAACGCCACCTACTGGTGGTGTTTCAATATGTGTTTTGCCAAAGCAGAATAAGGAGATGTTTCATAGATAGATAATCTAATTCTGGAGTAAAATACTTCTTGTATAAGGATAGGGTAACAAAAATATTTTTTTTGTTTCTTTAAGCTAATAAAAATAGCACAATAGCATTATTATGCTTCTTCTACAGCTAATGTAAACATTAAATTTACTGCTTATTTTATTGGAGTCTGCAGTAGGTGAAATTTCCTTGAAAAACAGTCATTTATGGACAAAGTTTACTACATGCAAACCCCATAGATAGTGGTACCTTTTGGTGTTTGGTGTTTCATTTTCTTGCCCTGTTCTTTCTTACTGGTTCAAAGAAGATTATGTATTCATAATTTAAAATCTCATAGACCACTAATATGATCTGCCTAATGATTGGCTGGGTGGGCGTGGCTAGGTGGTCATGTGACTGGGGGGGCATGGCCAACTCAATGTCACTCACATCAAGGGGCACCTCGCCGGCCTCTACTCCCCCCTCATCTCCTAGCCACTCCTCGCTTTCCCAACAGGGCTTTTTAGGGTCCCAACAGGAAGCAGTTGTTGGAGTTAAGCAGCCATTATGATAAAGAGTTGGCAAAACAGTTCAGTTCAAATTGGATCTGACCGAGAAGGAGGCTCAGCAGAAGCACCTCACTGAGGACTAGGAGCATAGGCTTTCCAAGCAGAGGGAAGACCTGCTGGAGTGCAAGGCCTGGAGGCTCAGCGGATTGAGATGGTCAGCCAGTTCTAGGCCATGAGGCAGTCCCACTGGAACGAGGCCCTCCATCTCTTTGCCAACTCTTTATCATAATGGCTGCTTAACTCCAACAACTGCTTCCTGTTGGGACCCTAAAAAGCCCTGTTGGGAAAGCGAGGAGTGGCTAGGAGATGAGGGGGGAGTAGAGGCCGGCGAGGTGCCCCTTGATGTGAGTGACATTGAGTTGGCCATGCCCA